TCTCCATATATTCCAGCTGAAAATTCTAATAGTGCATGGCAGGCCATGGGCTTTACAACAACTTGCTAAGGCAGGTACTATTGTTATCCCCATTTCCCAGGGAAGAAACAGAGACACAAAAGGGTTAATTGAATCGCCCAAGACTGCACAGCTAGTAAGTTCTGGGAGCTGAGTTTTAAATACAGGTCAGGTCTTGGTCCAGGGCCCATGCTATTGACCACTAGGCTAAAGTGGGTCTGATGCAGAGTTCCTGAATAAGGAGATAAGAGAATTGTAACAAGACCCCCTGTCACAGCCCTAAGAATCGTGCCCTGTTTTGGATTGGGTGTTGCACTAGGTGCCACAGGACCACTTTAAAGCAGGCCCAGAGGGGAGAGAACAGGATGGCAGGCTTCTGGAAGTCGCATCATGTACACAACAGTTGCAGTAGGTAGGGCTGATTAAGTGGAGACGAGGTATAGGGAGGTCCTTGTCAACATGTGAAGTACTAAACACCTGTCATGTTTAGCCTAGAGAGTTGGGTGGGGAATTTGAAGCAAGCTGATTTCCAACAGCTGTCACGTAGAGAAGGGAGACTTATCTATGGAGCTAGGAATGAAGAGGAACAGATAACTGGAAGGCCTGGGTTCATTCTCAAGGAAGAATTTTTGGCTATTCAGATGGTCTTATTCAGCCCTGGTAAGTGATAGTCTTCCTGTCTCTAGAAATATCCAAGCAGAGACCACATAGTTCCTTGAAACTATTTCCAAGGCAAATCCCACCTTGACAGCCCAGCTCATTAGCAAATTTCATGGTGGTCATCTCAGGCAAAGAGGGTGGAAAGGGAAAATTACAGGGGGAGGAGGGCAGAGGACGGCAATAAGACAAGGGATAGGAGACTCATCCATTCTTCAGGAACCGGCACAATGCACACAGAGCTTTCAGCTTGGAAACGCTGGAGAGCCCCTGGGAAGGAAAGAGTCATCTCTGGAGCTCTGAACTCTGGTTTTGTTTAAAAACAAAAAACACCTGCAGGCAGCTGTGGTAATTACCCTCAGAAAAGGGGGCTGGACTTTGTTGCTCAGAGCAAAACATGCTCATGACTCACTGGAGGGCCTTTCTATGGGGAAGCAGGCAGGGCTGGGTTGGGTGGCTTGCCTAGGACTCTGTCTTAAGGTTATGAGGAGAAAAGTCTCTGAGCAGTGGGCCCATGACCCCATGTGGACAGTTGGGGACAGTGGAGCTTTAGAGAAGAGCAGAAGCAGAAGAATACCTCCCAGAAATGGAGGCTGGTAGACATAGATTCAACTGTCCTATGATCTCCTATTGGCTACATGACCTGGAGTAAGTGACATCACCTATGATGAGCCTTAATGAAAACAGTAACAGTGATAATGTGTTCCTCACTTATGGGTGTGTATGTGTGACCAGGGTTACTACTCAGATGATATATGCATAGTCCAGAGCCCAGTTCATGTAAACTGCTGGATGCCTGATGGGTGACTCTACATCAGTTTGCTCCAGGCTCCCACCATGAGTTTCCTGTCTTTCCAGAGCCAGGAAGCCCTTGGTGACCATTTGTAGCTGCCTTCTCTCTGCAGCATCCCCTTGATGACTTCCATGTCTTCTGGGTCCCATCTGAATCTCTGCCACATGACCCTGTGGCCCATATCCTGTGTGTCTCTACCTTGTCAAGGGCAAGGTCCCTTAGCCCAAACTAGAACACAGGAGGTGTGGCAAGCAGGAGGGTCTAAAGCTACCTGAGACCTGCTAGGAGGGAAAGTAGATTTTCAGCTTCAAGGCCTTTCCATGGTCCACTGGGGCTTTCTCAACTCACCCCCCCATCCTACCTCACTTGAGCTGCTTGCCAAGTTCCTGTTTCACAAAGAAACAAGGAAGTAAAGAGATAGGCCGGCCTCAGTCAAGGGCTTGCAGGGTGGGGGTTTGGGGAGCACCTCCCACTCCCAGCTGTGATGAGCCTTGAGGGGGGGGCAGGAATGGACAGGGAAGAAACAGTTGCTACTGAATCTTTCACATTTCTATTTTTTCTGGCACCAAGAGTGCCCAACTATTGATTTGAGGAAGTCGGTGAGTTGGTAAAATTCACTGCTGAGGTGGGTTCTGGGTTCTCTGGGTGAAGAGGAGCCAGCCCAGCCCCTTCTGAGGCTCCATCTTATGAACAGTTGGAGCCAGCTGGGTGGCACGGAATCCAATTTAGTTATCATTTAAAAAATGAACTATTTGTGGGCTGTGGCTGTGGCTCAGTGGTAGAGCACTTGCCTAGCATGTGTGAGGCACTGGGTTTGATTCTCAGCACTACATATAAACAAATAAAGGTCCATCAGTAACTAATAAAAAATATTTTAAAAAATGAACTATTTAAACTATTTTTTTGTGTATGCATGAATCATCTTACTCATGCCCTTTTCTTTCCAAAAAGGACTCGAAGCATCAAGAAATGTTGCTCTATACCATTTCTGTAACATCACCATTGTCACAGATACATAACTTCAAACGGATCTTCTTGAGCCTCAGTTTGTTCATTAGAGGCTATATGGGGCTGACAGAGTTGCACACTGAAATCGAGAGAGGAGCCATCACAGAGCTGAATCAGTATGTTTAGGATTTAACCCTTGCCTTAGTCCAACAGGCTGTGTGACCCTAGGCAAGTCCCTTCCTCTTTCTGGGTTGCTGTAGAAGATTTCTCGTCTGTACACTGAAGGGGTTGAACCAGATGTTTGTTTGGTCATGTAGCTCCTATTCAGGACTGGATATGGACTTTGAGGGCCCTGGTGCAAAATGAAATCATCGGGTTCTTTAAGAAAAAAGTATTAAGAATTAGAAGACAGGTGACATGAGAGAGCATTAAATCCAGTTTAGAGGCTCTCTAACTACAAGTCCCTGAGTGACTGCATAGGTTACATGCCCATGAAATTGGCCCTGCAACCACCTCCAGCACAATTTTGTTGGAAGCCTAATTCTTTTTAAAAATATTTTTATTTGTCAATGGACCTTTATTTTATTTATATTGTGGTGCTGAGGATCGAACCCAGTGCCTCACACATGCTAGGCAAGTGCTCTACCACTGAGCCACAACCCCAGCCCCACCTAATTCTTTTTTTCTGGAGCTTTGCTTTCTTTGACAACCCTTGTGAAGTTTCTCAGGAATCGGTAGACTTCAGGGAACATAGTTGAAAAAACAGAAATTAGATGCTTGCTTCCAGGCTTTTTCAGTTCAGTTTTGGCTATGTATTTTTAAATTGGAGTTCCAAACCTTTTTCTTATCTACTTTCAAAGGTGAAGCAAAAATTGACCTCATGCTTGGAAAATAACAGCATTATCATCTCTTGTCTGTGTAGTTTCCTGGTTTACAGAATGCTGCCACATCCGGGTTTTATGGGTCTCTATAACCTCATCAGGAAGGCAGTATGGGTAGTTTATGGAAGGAATAACTGAAGACCAGAGAGGTGAAGGGTCTTGCCCAAGGTCACACAGTTGATAGAACTGGTACTAGATAGAGTTCTATCTCCTAGGAAAGGGGGCTTTCTACATGGCCTGCTTCATAGCTGCAGGCAGCAGGTGAGGAGAGGTTTTGGTAAGCTCCATCCCCCAGCATAAATACAAAAGACCAGAGCCCAAGAGGCAGTTACTTATCTTCAATTCCTTATGATGTCACAAGAGGCCCCATGTATGTCAGACCTGCTGTGTGTGCCCTGAATCTCTCCCTGCCTAACCCAGAAGGAAGCTTTTAAAGCATGAACGCTCAGTGCTGGTCATCCGGGTTCCAGGGAAGGGAGGAGGTAAACTGGCTGTGGGCCTTTCCACTGCTATGCTTCTGGGGCCAGGGTTCTCAGTTTCAAGACAGTGGGCTGGAGGGGCCATAAGTGTGAGAAGGAGATGAGCTAAAATCCTGGCTGAAGAGAGTCTCAGGCTGAAGAAAGGGAACCAGAGCACAGGGCTGCCTTGAGTATGAAAGGCCCAAAAGTGGATCTTGGCCAGTAACCATGACCTGAAGGAACCCTAGGAGCAAATGGCAGGGCACAGGTGCAGGTCTGGGCAGGCAGGCCCTGAGGAAGCTGTACGGTATAGACTCTGCTTCTCAGCTGTGTGATCCTGGTCGAGCCCATTTTTCTCTTCTGGAAAATGGTAAGCAAGAGCCATACCTCTTGACAATTTCTGAGATAGTAGGTACTGGAGACAGTTGACTAGTTTGAATCCTGCCTTACCAAACCGCCCACCATTTACTTAGCAAAAATAAAATAAAATAAAATAAAGTAAACTTGAGAAAGTGGGTTAATCTCTAAGGGCCTCACTCAGTTCCCTTACTTATAAAATGCAAATAATCCAAGCACCTCTTCACAGGTTGTGAGGATAAAGTGAGAAATTGCCCATAAAACTTTCTGTATGTAACATAACACTTTCTGTACATTGCACTCAGTAGTGGTAACAGTGATGCTGCTGCTGCTGCTGCTGGAGATGACTTTAATTTTATTAATAGTAGCTGTCTATGTGGTGAGCAGGCAAGAGAGCAAAGGACCCAGCAAATAGAGGCCCACCACTGGGTGCTACAGGTTCTCAGTGAGGGTGGGTCTGAGCTCTGACATTAGGATGCAAGATTTGGTGATGACTGTTATAGTCATCCTCATGTTCAGCAAACTAGGCCTTGTGCTGCCAGGCTGGGCAACTTCTTAGCCTGGTTCCTTTGCCCAGCACCCTGTCCTCAGAGCCTTGGTTCTCACCTCTCCACCACCCAGAACACAGTGTCTGTTCTGGCCCCAAATTTCTGGCCCACATTTGGCAAGTTCCCAGCATGAGGCTTCTCTCTGTCCCCTCCACACCTCTAGCACAGGCTGGAGGCAGCTGGCTAGGCAGAGAGAGCATGCGCATACATGTTCAGGAGCACACTCACACACAGGCTCACGTGCACATTCTCAAGCCCATGTGCTCCCCCACTGAGCTTCTGGAGCCTCAAGTCCCCACCCCCACCTCAACCTCTCTTCTTCCTCCCCCACCACAAAAGCCACAGGTAACAGCAGCCTCCAGCAACAGAGCAGACACAATACAAAACCAGAGGCAGGCATCTTTGCAAGGCTGTTTTAAGCATCTAGCAGGATGTGAGCCCAGGTGGCTAACGGCTGACTGAGGCCCGAGAAAGCTGGGCTCAACCAATGAGGAGGGGGCTGGGAGGTGGGTTAAGAGTTGCTGCATGGTGCTGAAGGGCAACAGAGCTGGACCGCAGGCCATCTCCCCATGCGTGTTGCATGTCCTCAGGCAGGGACCACCTTCTTCCTGAAGCTCAGTTTTACTGTCCGTGAAATGTGGAACCTAGACTCTACCCACCTGAGGTGAGGGTCATCCAAGGATGTGGGAGGATTTAATAGTATTGCCAATGTGGCTGCATTTTAGAAAGTTAAAAGGGCTCCTTGAATGCCAGGGAAACCTGGGATAGTGACATCATTCTCTAACCTCTGGTAGCACCATATTTTAGAGTACCTTGCCATAGTCCCTCCTACTCCATAGCCAAAGTTCTACACTTTCACCTTCCCTGCTGTCATTGGAACAGAGTGCACTTGGGGTTTGGGAGCAGTGGGCTCCCATGTGTGTGGATGGCGCTGGCGTGTGCTCCTGGCTGGCCTCTGGCTCCAGGCTTACCCTGCCCCCCACTAGATTTGTTGTTCTCCTCAATCCTAAGTAGCTCTCTCCAGACAGATGACACAGTCACCCTTCCTTTGTCTTCCTCTAAGGTACAGCAATTAGCCTGGGGGAGTCCTGCTCCTTCAGCTCTATGGGCTGTAGCCAGGAGGCCAAAGTGGAGCTGGGGACAGGTGGGTGGCCAAAGGCAGCCTTAAGGGTTGGAAAGGCCACAAATTCAGGAGCCAGTGTGGGTGGGAGCAGCTCTGACAATCTCCACTAGGTGGTAATAGGGTGGAGTTCTCCCCAGGACATGGAGCCCCTAGGAGTAGGGGCACTGCCTGATTGGTTTTTTATTTGGGGGGAGAGGAAGTAGCTCTAGCAGTCTGGGCTCACAGGAGGGAAGGCATAATTGGCTCTGTTTTCCCAAACTAGGGGCTCAGGGTGAGGTGCACAGGCCTGGGGAGGGGTATGTGTGCTGCCTGTGCTGCCTGGGATCTGCCTGGAATCTGCCTGGGATCTGTCCTTCCAGAGGGGGCCAAGGGCAACAGTTTCTAGGTAATGGGCCAGCAAGTGCTCTTGGGGCTTGTGTGGTACAGGGGGAGGGGAACTCAGCAAGTCCCACATCTAGGTGGAGGTCAGCAGGGGAGTCAGGAGCCTCTAGCTATTCTGGATGAGGAAGGCAAGAGAGGTGGCTAGCAAAGCAGAGGCCAAGGAGGTGGAGTGGGGGGCATTGGCAGACAGGGGCTCTGTGTGCTTCTGCAGCCAGGCCAACTCTTCCAATAGCTGGCGATTCTGTAGCTCTGGGGCCACCTTCTCCCGGATGGTCTGGTAGTAGCGATTCAGGTACTGGAGCTACAAAAGATAGGTTTGATCTGAGCTACCAAGAAGTGAGGTCTTGGTGCCACCCAAACCCTGCTGTGGTATTCCAGATATCCACCTTGGTCCAGGAACCCAGCCACTATCAGGCCTTAGGTATTCTCTGGGGTGTTCCACAGGCAGTTCCCCATGGTGGTTGCTTAATGCCATAGTAATGTTCATGAGGAATGAGGTGGATGAATTTCAGGCCCAGGAATGAGAATAAACAGGGCTGGCATCCCCATTTTACAAAAGAAGAGATTGAGGCCCAGAGAGGGGGTAGGGAATGCTTATTTTTCCAGACCTTGTAGTAAGAGAACTCAGAGTCCCAGTCTTAGCCTTTCCAAGAGTTAACTACCTAAGATTGGGCAGGCTGGCCTGATTGGAAAATTCTAGAAGTTTGGGGGTCTCTGGTGAGCTGGGAAGGTATGCCCCAGTGTCTGTCTACAGTGCTACCAGTGTGGACTCTCCTGGGGAGGGGCAGGGATAGAGTGTCTTGGAGTTAGAGGCATGAAAGTCCCAGAGTGGGGAAGAAGGCAGTCATTCACAGGCTGAAGGCCTGGCAGTGCTGATGGATACTCACCTGCTCAGGGGACAGCAGGCTGACATCAATGAGGTTTCGGTCATAGGGCACGAAGGACACCACTTCAAAGGTCAGGTAGCTCCCTGGGTACTGAGAGCCCACAAAAAAGGTGGAAAAGCAGGAAAATGAAGGAGGAGGAGTAACTATGTTTAAGGGAACATGGGAGCACTCCACACAGAAGCTGCAGGCACAGGAAACTGATCCTTGTCAACCCAAAACAGTGGTTAGATCTGAGCTTTCCAGAATCTCTTCCCTTGGCCAACCATCATCTTCTCTAACACTTAGCCCCTAGGTGTTTTCCTCTTTATTCCTGAAATTTAAACTTAGATCTGTGTTTCTCAAAATGTGGGTATCAACAGCACCTGAGGAGTACATTAAATGTGTAGATTCCAGGATCCACCCCCTAGGCCTACTGGGGCACAATCTCTAGGGCAGGGTCTGGGAGCTTACATGCAAATCAAATGATTTACAAATAAGTTATTAGGGGAGAATCAAAGCCTCTGGGACAGGAGTCCCCTGTGTTTCTCCCTTGCTAGCAAAGTAATAAAACTTCATTTTCCTTTTTCTCAAAAATAGTTATTAGGGTTTTCTACCCATCCATTCATCCATCCATCTATATATCTACTTATTGATTCATCTATCTATAAAGACAAGTAAAAAAGAAAGGGGTAAAAGCCTATAATTTCCATCTCTCAGAGAGCTTATGTGCTTAGGAAACTCAAACTACACAAAGATACATAATAAAAATAGAAAGTCTCTTCTCTGGCCAGTTTCCTTTCTGAAAACATTTCTGGCATATGCAATATACATATTTGAAAAAATATATGTATATATTTGAAAAGCCATTCAACATGGATCCTACCATACATGCTTCTCTTTACCTTTCTTCCCACCTTACTTCATGGTAAACCCAGGAAAGTGCTCTGAATTAGCACAAGGAGATCTACCTCATTCTTTTAAGGGTCGCAGAAGATGTACCATGATTTATTTCAGCAGTTATAGATTTTTAGGCTGTTTCCATTTTTTTTCACTATGACTGTCAATGCTATAAACCAACAGCACTGTATAAACATCTTGATGAACTTTGGGACTATATCCAGAAGATATATATTTGGTGAAGGAATTGCAGAGACAAAAGGTACAGGGATTTTTAATAGGCACTTCTATAGATATTGTCAAACTGCCCTACAGAAGTTTGCACCAATTTGTACTTCTCTTAATAGTGAACTGAGAGTGTCTATTTCACCACATACCCATCAACACTGAGTATCATTGAAGCCTCTGATTTTTGCCAATCTGATAGATGAAACATGATATTCTATTGTTGTTTTGATTTGCATTCCTTTAAGGATGGAGTTGAGCATCTTTTTACATGTGTGAACCATCTGTGTTCATTTTAGTGAATTATCTCTTCATGTCCTTTGCCCACTTTTTTCTTTTTTGCTTTTCCTATTTTTATCCTATTTCTTTGTAAAAGCTATGGCAAAATTAAGGAAATTCACACTTTATTTGTGATGTAACACATTGTCACAGATCTCTCTCCCTCCCTCCCTCCTTTCCTGCCTTCCTTCCTTCATTTATTTGCTGTGCTGGGGCTGGAACCCAGGTCCTTGTGCATGCTAGGCAATTGCTCTACAACATAGCTACATCCCCAGACCACAGACTGCATCCCAAGCCCACTTTGTCATAGTATCTTTTGATATTTTTGGTATTATTTCCATATACACATTTTCTATATAATTTAGTCAGAGTTTCAGTATTTTCCTTCATGACTCTGGGTTCTATACAGAAAGGCCCTTTTACACCCTGAGATTATAAATTAATTCATATAAGTTTTCTTCTAGATCTTTTGTGATTCCATCGTTCACCTTAAAACTTTGGTCCATCTGGAATTTTATTTTGATATAACAGTGATGTTATTCATTTTATTCCCACCAATGATTAGTCATTGGTTCCTTCCACCCATTAGTTGAACAATTTCTTTCCTCCTTACTGTTTTCAAACATCAGCTTTACTGAAAACTAAATTCCCTGAGACTGGGGTTGTGGCTCAGTGGTAGAGCGCTTGCCTAATATGTGTGAGGCACTGGGTTCAATCCTTAGCACCACATAAAAATAAATAAATAAACAAAACAAAGGTATTGTGTCCATCTACAACTAAAAAAAAAAAAAAGAAAACTAAATTCCCCATGTCATTTATGGGAATTAGAAAGTTTACTTTGGGAATTACTGTTTCATTGTTTTCAATGTCTGTTTCATCTCCAGTGTCATTCTCTTTTATTTTGTGTTAATTTTTTTTAATATTTATTTTTTTTTAGTTGGACACAATACTTTTAGTTATTTTTTATGTGATGCTGAGGATTGAGCCCAGGGCCCTGCACATGCTAGGCAAGCACACTACTGCTGAAATACAACTCTAGCCCTTGTGTTAAATTTTGACAGGGCTACTTTTCTTTATTGCTCTTCTTTTTCAGAATTTCCTACCTACCTAGCTATCTTTCCATGTTTATTTTTACAAACAAACTTTACTGTCATTTTGTGAAGTTACAAAAGTATCCAGTTAACTTTGAAATTGTGATTGTCTTGAATTTATAGATTAATTTAGGGAGAAATGACATCTTCATAATATGGTGGCTTCTTTTCAGAGAGCACCATTTACTTAAATCTTTTTTATGTTCCTTTAGCAGAGAGTTTTCTCTGTAAGTCTTTTAAAGTTTATATCTAGGTATTTAATCTTGTTGGTTGTTAAAATATCAAATCCTTATCTAATGAGATCCCTTGGTGATTATTAATGTGCACTGAGAACCAATGATTTAGAGCAGGGATACTGATTCTCTTGTCCTGAAGTGGGACCTGGCATTGGCATTTAAGAGACAAACAAGCTTTACAGATGATTCTAACGTGCAGCTTGAGAAACTGATTTGTGGAATTCCTACAGAGCCATGGAAGATTCCAAATAAATTCATGCTCACACATTAAATGCCCTTCTCCTTCAGCTTCCACCACCTCCCATGAAGCCCAAAGTCACTGCCATTCTGTCCACACTTCCAGCCCATTTCAGTGGTACATTACCTTGGTCTTTGCTTCCACTACGAGGGCTATATCTTCAAGACGGATCCCAAATTCTCCTTCCTGATAGTAACCAGGTTCTGGGAGACACAGAAAATGCTGATAGCATTAGGCCAGGGTGGGTGGGGACACCCAAACTCAGGCTTTATGTGCCAATCAAGTGGCTGGAGTGCCCCACTGCCTGTCTGGCTCCTCCCTGGCTGTTGGCTCTGGTGGCCCAACAAATTGGCTAAGCAGAGGCAACATGTTAGGCCTCAGATTCCCTCTAAGCCAAACTCTGACTCACCATTCCTCCCTTCTCCCTGTGTGCCACTGTCCTGTTACCCCAGCATTTGGTTGGAAACTCCATAATCTGGATGTACAGCTGAAAATCAGCTCCCAAGAATAATAAGGATGATAAGGGCCGAGAGGGCTGGGTAAGACTGGGCCAAAACATTTGGGATATGGGAATGAGAGTGGGGAGGTAAGGGAGGGCAGCAGTGGGTCCAGGGCTGTGCCCATGCCTGGCATGCTTCCTGAAGGTGGGTGCCTGATTCCCCAGCTAGCCCTGCTCTGGGATTGGACGGTGCGGTGGAGAGGTCTGAGAGCTGTACCTATGGAAGTGAACATGCCCTTGGCCATCTTAATGTTGTTGGACTGGAATCCCACTGGCCCTAGAAAGAAAGATACAGGCAGGTATCAGCTCTCCTATCCTTACCAGCTTGGAGGTGAGCAGGTTCTGGAGAAGAGCAGGTAATTGGGGTCCCTGGGCATCTGTAGCAGTACTTATCTGTCACATCATTGTCTACCTGGAGCTGGCACATACCAAAATAGCCCTGGCGTTTATTTCTCTGGGGTCTATGCCAATTACCACTAGGCTGTGGTCCTCTCTCTGGTGCTCTCTTAGATGCCAAGAAGGCTGTGGGATTGGCCAGCTGCCAGCATGCCTCACTTATCCTGAGGTGCATCACCTCCCCCTAGCAGGGTGACCATGGGTGGGTCATGGCATCTCTGTGGGTCTTGGCAATTTCCATACCTGTGAAATGCTTTCTTTCATAGGGGGTGTCACACAAGGGGGGATGCTGGAGCAGGGGTTGAGAAGGTACCTACATTCATGCACACACAGGAAGTTGCCAATGCCATGGCCTGTCCCATGACCATAATTGAGGCCAATGTCCCACAAGGCCTTACGGGCAAAGGCTTCCACCATTCGCCCTAGAAGGGAAAAGAGAGTGCCCTCGGTCAGTTGGCTGGATCCCAGACTGTCCACCTTGCCCCTTCCTGATCAACTACCGGGGTAGTGCCTGAGGAGAGGGGCTCCTGAGAAGCAGGAAAGCATGAAATGACATGGTGACATTGGGCAGGAATGGAGAGAGGCCATGAATGAAGCCAGTGACACCATGGCTAGCCCAGACCCTCACTGTTTTCAGCACAATGTACATTGTACCTGTTACCTGGACAGACAATTTTACCACAATTTCTCCCCATCCATTAAGCCTTAGCACTTTAACATCTATTTCTTCTAGGAGTCTTCCCATGACTGCTGCAGCCCACAATGATTTTCCCTACCTCTGAGCACAGCATTGGATTAGGAGGCAGCAGACCCGGATTTGAGGCCTGGAAATCCTACCCACCCTCTGTATGAACTTGGGAAAGTCTTTCTTGAAAAAAAATTATTATTTTTTTAGTTGTAGTTGGACACAATACCTTTATTTCATTCATTTATTTATTTTTTTAAAGAGAGAGAGAGAGAGAGAGAGAGAATTTTTTAAATATTTATTTTTTAGTTTTCGGCAGACACAACATCTTTGTTGGTATGTGGTGCTGAGGATTGAACCCGGGCCGCACGCAGATGAGCGCGCTACCGCTTGAGCCACATCCCCAGCCCCTCATTCATTTATTTTTATGTGTTGCTGAGGATCGAACCCAGGGCCCCCGCACATGCTAAGTGAGCGCTCTACCACTGAGCCACAATCACAGCCCCACGAAAGTCTCTCTCTCTCTCTCTCTCTCTCTCTCTCTCTCTCTCTCTCTCTCTCAGCTAGATTTTCTCATCTATACAAGGGATGGGATGATGAATTAATCCCTGACCCACTAGCTTCCCAGGGTGGCAGTCTAAATCCCATGAAATCAGGGCCTGAAGCTCTGTGTCCAGCCTGGCCTCCAAAACCTACCTGATGTAGCAGCAGGAAAGATAAGTCTGGACAGATCAATGTTTCCCATCAACACACGGGTATATGCCTCCTGATAGGAAGAGGAAAAGGTGATGGGACAGGTAGTAGGAGGAGCCAAGGGAGCTTCCAATGGCTTGGCCTAGGGATGTGTGGGGGTGGGGCCCAGGCCTATGTGTGTTAGCAGAGTGGGGGCGACACATCCTCATATATGGGTCACCCAGGTGATAGAAGATGGCCTAAGGAGGCTGAGGGGGACATTTCTAAAGCTGGGGCTCAGTTCATGTAACTCTCTTTGGCTGGCCCACAGAGGTCATTATAATGTGTTGAGGACATGCTTATTTTTTTAAAAAAGAATTTAACCTTATTTTAAAAATGTATGTATTTATATGTGGTGCTGAGGATTGAACCCAGTGCCTCACCCATGCCAGGCAAGCACTCTACCACTGAGCCACAACCCCAGCCCGAGGACATGGTTATGGAAGGTGGTTATAGTGGGGGTGGGGGCAGGAAGACTGTGGGCTGGAATCCTGGGTTGGCCATTCAAACTCTGAGGTCTTAGGTCAGTGAATTTTACTTTTCTGTGCCTCAATTTCCTCATCTATAATGGGATGACAGTGGTATCTAGTTCCTAAGCTTGTTGGATGTGGACCAATGATGAATGTAACATAGTAAATAAATGCTCAACTCAGCGCTGGCACACTCCTTGAGGGCTTGTAATCATCCTTTAAGTTTTCCTAAGGCCAAGATTGGGTTGGGCCTGATCATTTGGCAGATCAGCCTTCCTGTCAGGAGAGTGGGGGTGGGCTGACCATGGCATGGCCTCTTCTGGTCACTGCAGTGGTGATGTGGGCTATCCTCTTCACTACCCACCCACATAGGCTTGTCATCTCGTGCAAGGCAGCCAGAGGCAACAGACCCAACCAGCTAAATTGTGAGCTCTTGGAGATCTGCAGAGCACTTCCCCTCTCTGTTTTAAGCACAATGTCTGACTTGTGATCTGCTTGCTGAATGCATGAATACAGCTCCCTGTCCCAACCTCTGCCCTAGTTGACCAGACCTCACTGTCCTGAACACCTCCAGCTCCTTTCTGCCTCTGAGGCTTCACTTGTGCCATTTTCCTCTATTTAGAATGCCTTTCTTCCCCCTTTCAGTTGAGTGCAGGGTCAGACACGCAGACAGCACTAAAGAAGTAATTGTGCATTGATGTACTGAAATGGGACAAGGTGACCTTGGACCAAAGCCTTGGTGGCCTGCAATCTCTGTGAGGGAGCACTGTTTTCTGGCATTACTTTGCTACATGAACTTGGGCAAACTACTTAACCTCTCTGGGCCTCAGTTTTGTTCTCCCAGGCAAAAGGACTCTTGGTGGAGTCCTTTCCCAGGAGGGGAATCCTGGTCCCAACACTTACCTTTTGGAAGGCAGAGGGGGTGCCCCAGTGGACTGTTCTGGTGATATCTGTGGTCCCATCCCTGTGGAGAAGGGAAAACCAATATGATCAGCCCCACTGAGTGCTTATGGGTAGGGGCTGGGCCCTGTGCTTTTCCCACTGGTGTCTGAGCAACAGGGCTGGGATAAGGCCAAATAAGGAAGCAAAAGAAAGATAGCCACCATCATCAAAATCCTGCCTGCAGGACTGCGAATTGGTGCAACCACTCTGGAAAGCAATATGGAGATTCCTCAGAAAATATAGAATGGAACCACCATTTAACCCAGCCATCCCACTCCTTGGCATTTACCAAAAGGACTTAAAGTCAGCATATTACAGTGATGCAGCCACATAAATGTTTATGGCAGTTCAATTCACAATAGCTAAACTATGTAGCCAACCTAGGTGCCCTTCAACAGGTGAATGAATGAAGAAAATGTGGTACATATACACAGTGGAATATTATTTAGCCAAAAAGAAGAATAAAATAACGGCATTTGTCTGTTAATGGTTGGAGCTAGAGAGTATCATACTATGTGAAATAAGCCAATCCCAAAGAACCAAAGCTGAATGTGTTTTCTGATATGTGGATGCTAATTCACAATAAGGGGGTGGGGAAGAATTGAGGTATTTTGGACTACACAGAGGGGAATGAAAGGAGGGGAGGGAGTATGGAGGCAGGAATGATAGTAGAGTGAATCGGACATTATTAACCTATGTGCATATATGATTATAGGACTGGCATGATTCTATATCATGTACAACCAGACAAATGAGAAGTTGTACTCCATTTATATATAATGTGTCAAAATGCATTCTGCCAGGTGCCATGGTGCACGCCTGTAATCCTAGAAGTTTGGGAGGCTGAGGCAGGGGGATAATGAGTTCAAAGCCAGCCTCAGCAACAGTGAGGTACTAAGCAACTCAGTGAGACCTTGTCTCTAAATAAAATACAAAATAGGGCCAGGGATGTGGCTCAGTGGCCGAGAGCCCCTGAGTTCAATTCCTGGTACCCCCCCCCCGAATGCACTATACTGTCATGTATAACTAATTACAACAACTAAAAATATTTTTAAAATTGCTTTTATATTTTTAAATACATGACAGTGGAATGCATCACAATTCTTATTACACATATAGAATACAATTTTTTTGTTCACACCAACTCATGTCTTCATACATATACTTTGGATAATGATGCCCATCACATTCAACTATCATTTATTACCCCATGTCCCCTCCCTTTCTTTCCCACCCCTCTGCCCTATCTAGAGTTCATCTATTCCTCCCATTCTCCCTCTCGATAACCCACCATGAGTCAGTCACCTTATATCAGAGAAAACATTCAGCATTAGAACAACTAAAAATATTATTAAAAAATATCTATAACAAAAAATTCCACCTTAGCATGTATGCATGAAGGGGCTCTGAATAGCTCTCAAGGTGAAATTCACTATATTCTCTGAAAATCACAATGCCCCATATACACTCCTTCCCGATACTACCCATTTGGGCTGGTTTACAACTCTCTGGGTGTCAGGTTAGCTCTAAATGCAAGGCTTCTTCTGGGCTTCCTGGGAGGTAGCCTAGGGTTGTCTCCTTTTTACAGATAGGGAAACTGAAGTTTGGAGAGATGACATTACCATAACATTCCCAGGTTCAGATGTTTCCCATTTATAGGACACTTTTTCAGCTCCTTGAGAAGGATGGCAGAGTCGGCCTTATTATCCTCATTTCACAGGTGGAATGGAAAAGGCAATTGAAGCCTTGAGGCTGTGAGGTGGTCTCACTCCCCAAGCCTCAGCAAAGCCAGGACCAGGGCAAGCACTAACTTTCCACGAAGTTCTCTTCATTATGAATATGGATCTGACTCAGTGATCCAGCGAAGTGAAGCCAGAGCCAGAAGATCTGACTCCCAACCACCAGCTGCAGCATTTCCCCAAGGACAGTTCCTGGGCCAGCACACCCGCCCACCTTGGGAAAGGGGAGGGGAGAAACCATCCCAGGGCCCCAAGGGTTCCTCCTGGGGAGTAGGTCATGGGGCGTGGTAAACTACTTCTTCAGAAGGAGAGAAGAGGAAGTGAGGTGACCATTTCCCCAACCTCACCCTCCTCTGAGCATGCCCCAATCCAAAAAACGCCCCCACAAATTTACTTCCCCTTTGCAAGTCGGCCATCTCAAGTATGCACAGCATGGAATTGGGGATTAGCAAAAGCTGCTAAACTGAGCCCCTGTCCCACTGCCTGTGAAAGCTATGCTAAGAGCCAGTGAAGGAGTTTTTAACATTAGCACATTCACCATTTCCACCCAAGACGGGTTGGGGGACCCTTAGAAACTACTCTGTGCTCCTACTTCAGTTCAGCACACGCTTTCTTTTGCCTCACCCAATCTTTCCACAGCCCACTTGCTCTCTAGATGAAAAGGGAAAATCTTTGAGGTCAGGTCAGCTCAGATCAGCTCCAGTACACATAATTGGCCACATATTTGGAAGGAATATGCTTAGCCTATTCTGCATGGCTGTCATGTCTTATTCCAGTTGTGCACTGGACAAAAAAAATACATCTAAAGAGTTGCTTCTTACTTGCCCCTACTTCCAGCCTGACCTGGTCACCTTACCTGTACCATAGGAGGAGGGGGAGCTTAGGAATATGCATAGTGGTCTTTGGTATGTGGGCTGTGGCCAGAGTCTGCACAAGTGGGTTAGAATATGGGTATGTGTGTGCAATTGGGCAAGGATGTGTAATAATGTGCAGACTTAAAAAAACATTTTGCTTGAGTGAGAGGAGTCTTCCTAACACTCACAGAAGTGCTGCATATCTAGCTACCTAGCCTACATGTGTATCCCCACTATCCTCGTCTCTGTGTGGTTGCCACTGTGCAGGAAGCCCAAATGTGAAAATGAGAAGGATGTTCAGTGCAGGGTTGGGGGTACATACCAGTACTGTCCCCCAGAATCCACCAGGTACATCTCATCTGAGGACAGCTTGCGATGCATCTCCTTGGTTGGGCTGAGAAGGGGAGAGAACACTGAGAGGGGAGCAGCTTAACCCTGCACTGAGCAATGTGGAGTTCTGAGTGAAAGCAGAGACACTAGCCAGGCATGGTGGTGCATACCTGTAATCCAGCAGCTGGGGAGGCTGAGGCAGAAAGATTGCAAGTTCAAAGCCAGCCTCAGCAACTTAGCAAGGCACTAAGCAACTCAGTGAGACCCTGTCTCTAAATAAAATATAAAAAGGCCTGGGCATGTGGCTTAGTGGTTAAGTGCCCCTGGGTTCAATCTCTGGTACCAAAAAAAAAAAAAAAAAAAAATCGGAGGAACTCCCCCTTCCCTGCAGACCGGGCTCATGCTCTGGGGATATCATTATCTCCCAAAGGCCCTGGGAAAGTATTTGATATCTGTTGCTGCTGTCCTCAGCACACTTTATCCTGCACTGGCCCAAGCAAACCTTTGGGCCCCAGGGAGGGGAGGAAGAAAAGAACCCAGAACATGGGAACGAGGAGAGCCTCAGAGACCACCCAGTCCAGCTATCTCCTTTTACATAAGGAGAGACAGGTCTACAAAATGACTTGCAAGAGGTCACACAGGAAAGCAAGAAGAAGTTGACCCTGGACTAGGATGCTCCATCCAGTATTCTCTCTCTCTGCCTGCTGCCTCAGAGGGTGGGAGGGCCCCAGGAAGCAGGGCACAGGAAGGGAGGAGACCTTGTGGGTGGGGCTGGAGAACAAGAGTCCTGAGGGTTGAAGAGTACCTACTCTGTCACTATCTAGCTCTACTAGGGAGAAGTAGAGAGAAGGGGCTGGACCAAGGCAGCTGAAACTTGGGAGACACCAGGGGGTGCCACAGGAGGAAGTTCTGGGATACTCCTGGCCTTCCTTCAGAATGATGTCCAACCTCTTCCTGCCATATCTATGCCAGGCTGAGGTGTCTGGTTACCTCCAAATATTGTTAGGCAGGCATACAGTGTTTTCCATGGGGCCAAATATCTAGCCTACAACTTGGGCCCACCGTGGTTGTTTCAGACTGAGTGAAATAGGTCTTTCTTCAGAATGCTCCTGAACTTTGAGAATTAGATAACATAAATAACTCACAGGAAACCAAGGAAAAGCATCTAACAGCAGCCATGCCTCTCTCTTAGAACCCTCAGTCCTGAGTACTCAAAAGTGCTGGCTTCTTGGGGGAAAAGTCATTCAATTGAGCCTTTTAATTTCAAGGGGACTCCCAACCCCATCCCCCACAGTGCTGAGAGCCTCAAACCTCAAATGTAAACTTTGGGCCCAGAGCATTCCCTCCTCTACCCCAGTCCCTCTTCACCCACAAGATCCAATCCTTGCCACCAGAATCCTAGAAAATTCTTTCTCCTGAAGTACCTGTAGTGGGCCAGGGCAGCATTCAGGCCACTAGCAGAGATGGTTTCGAAACTGGGTCCAGAGGAGAAGTTTTCTTCTCTGGATAGTGCAAAGCAAGAAACAGTCAATAAATGGGCGCTCAGTCTGACTCCATTTAGCTCTCTCAGCCCTACTTCCTGGTTCCATCTTCCCAGGGCCAGTCCTGTCATTTATAGAGCACTCGAGAATGGAAAAGTCCAGACGAACTATAGAGAACTCCCCCTCCACCTTCATTTTACAAATGGGAGTGAAGAAAGTTAGCTCCTTGTATCTGAAAACGACCCCAGCCCCGATCAATATGTTTCTCCTCAACAATACAGAATGTCCTTGGTGTGCCCCAAGGGCCCCCCTCCCTATTGGGAGCTCTCAAGTGGTGCAGTAGCAAATTGGCCTGAGCCAGCCTCCGCGAGTGTGTGTGTGGGGAGCCCGTGTCTGAAGTAGGCACTAGAGGGCGCTGTTGGTCATCCCACTTTCAGCGGGGCTGGAGCTTGTCCTCCAACACCCCCTGCCCAGCTCCCAGACCACCCAAGATCAAGGAAGATCTTCCTTCCCTCTAAGTAAGTGGACTAATTATCCCTCCCTGCCCCCACCCCCACACTGGAAGATAGTCTTTCACCCTCGGAACTTGTCCACGAGCTCTGCCCCTGAGAACTCATCCACCGTGCCTTTGGGCACATTCTTCTCCAGCCAGACCAAGTACCGGATCACAGCCACAGCATCCCGCACCTGGAGATTGGGAAGCAGAGAAGCAGGCTGAGGTATGGTCAGAGTGGCAGCCACAGGCTCTGGGACAAAGATCAGCCACTTTGGGTTCTGGAGCTTTGAAAACATGAGGATCTGACTTGCTATTTGATATCAAAGGATTCTACTTAATGTTTATATCTGATCGTAGTGTGCTCATGTTTTCAAAAGCATTCTTATCTTTACAGATGCTTACTGAAGTGTTGACAGCAGAAATGATTTGATATCTGGGATTTGTTTTAAAATAATCTAGCAGCAGAGGATGGGAGTGGAGGTCATGAATGTGGGGTTATAGACAAAATGAGACTGGCTATGAGTTGATGATTGTTGAAGTCAGGTGATGGGGACACAGAGAATCATTATGCTACCTTCTCTCCCACAGCATACATTTAAAGTTTTCCCTTAGAAAAAGATTTTTTTTAAAATGAGATAGCTTAACCTAATTTTAACAAGAATATTCCAGAAAAGTGTGCTGCTGTCTTGCCAGGATGAAGAAATCATTACAATACATAGTTAATATTTAGGGAGTGCTCAAAGAACTGCACACATGTGTGCCCCCCCCCATATTCTTCATTAAATATCCACTATAATTGTGTGCTATAAGATTATTATTTGATCCTCCTTTTTCTGATAAGGTAACAGGCCTAGAGAAGTTAAATGACTTGCCCAAGGTTATCCAGCTAGGAAGTGGGTGGAGCTGGAGTTTGAACTCAAACACTGTACCTTCCAGCTGCCTCCTGCCTCCATGTGCCCATGCTCTAAACCATGGCACTACCCTGGGAGTGAGGGGGCAAAGGGCAGGTGGGTGCTCAGGAGTTTGGTGTCTGCTCCTTTGTTTCATTGAGGGTCTTTGAAGGCTTTCCTCTCCAACCCATCAGACTGGTAGCTCCCCCAAAGCCCACCTTCCTGCACATGGACTTACATGGCTGGCCTTGAGGAGTGCCTGCTCCTTGCTATTCTTCACTGCCTTGGTCACCATCACTGGGGAGTAGGTGTCTGCCAAGAGTTTCTCCTGTTGGGGACAGGGAGGGAGAAGAGATCTGGAAGCACCCTCCAAGGCACAGTAGTGTTTGCAAAGGACTGGCAGGAAGTCCCAGCTGAGGTCAGACATGCTGCTCCCTGGCATGGTGATGCCCTCTCCTTCAGGAGCTCTCTGGCTACACAGATCTTTCCTAATCTTTCTTGTCCAGTTTGACCCTCCCTCCAGAAGGCTTCCTTGATTAACACTGCCTTAGCAGTTCATTTCCACCTGCACTCTAGAATGGTTCAGGAAATGGGCTGTTCTGACAGTGTAAGTTTCCTGTACATATCTTAGTGGCTACCATTTATTGAGTGCCTACTGTGTGTCAAACAGTGGGCTTTACATATAATATCTCCATTAAATCTCCAGGGCAACTCCTGTGAGGTCAGGATTCATTTTACAGGTGAGGAAACCGAAACCCAGATTGGCTTAATTACTTGTCCAAGGTCATTGTAGAGCCAGTTAGAAGCACACCTGGGGTTCACTGTCAGGTTTGCTGACTCTAAGGACTGCTAGACCAGGCTGTATTCTCTCTAGCCTCTTCATGGTATGAATGCTGTCTCTGTGGACAGACATCCCAGCTTCCTCTTCTTTTGTCTCTTCCCAGTGAGGTCTACAAGGGACACACAGTACACTCGACTGATCAGCTGACTGAATGGCTAAGGGGCTTTGACCCCACTTTTAGTTGACACTTATCAGGCCTGGAGTGGGGGTTAGGTCTCTGTCATGAGCTGGAGCCTGCCAAACCCACCTTGGGTATTACTTCATAGAGCCCATACATGGTATAGCTGGTCCCAATCCAGATCCTCACATCTTCCAAGGCATAGGCCTGGACGCTGTCACGGACTTGGCTGTAGTCCTCAAGTTGCACGCACATGGGGCCTGTGCAGCTGGAATTCAGGTACTGCAGAGTCTCAGGGCTAAAGCGACTCTTGTTTACAAATAACCTGAGTAGGGAAGGAAGACCAGGAGTGTCTGCTAAGGACAAAGCAAAGAACCAGAGACATACACAGTTTCTTTGTTCCTAATAGTAAGAGAAAGCCAGCACAGGAAGCCAAGATTTGGGGTTCATTGGGAATAGAGGTCAAGTGGTCAGGAAAAGCCAAAGGGTCTTGCTGGAGCAGGTGCCAAGCTCATGGGCAGTCTGAAGGCTATATATTGGGGTGGGGTCAGTGGTGGGGCAATGAGGACAGAAGTTGGAGGAAGTTCGTGACAGCAAGCCAAGGAAAAGCCTTACCTGATGGAGGAGTTCGTGAGCAGCGTGTAGGAATAGAAGAAGGGGTTATAGGGGATGTCATTGCTGCGAAGGTTGAAGAGCCCTTGAAAAGAATCAATGGGGACTGTTTGAGGCTGATCTGCTTGGGGGTGAGCATTTCAGACACCTTTGCCTGTTTGCTTTGTTCCCCCCAATTTGCTGGGTGTACACTTTTATCATCTGGCTCTGAATGGTTCTAAGTCCTTTTGGGTGGGTGAGTGGGGGATTCAAGATACTGATGGGAGCTACAGACCTATCTCCCACCCTTCCCTGTGCAGGTATCCAGCATGAAGCACCCAGTTTTAGTGGGTCTTTAGAATGTCTGAAACCCAGCTATATGGATTGGGCAAGAAGCCCTGAGCCATGTTGGAATGGAGTAGGGTTACTCTGAGTGTTAAAGTGGGGTCTGTGAGTGCCCTGGGATAGTGGCCAGGCTGGTGAGAGGAGTTTGTTGGTCCTCTTCTCATTAAGGAGACAGATGCACTCTGCTGCCATGGTCAGTTCATTCCTTTGGTGGCCTGTGGGCTGGCCCCACCTTGCCTAAGGCCTCCTGGTTTCCTTATTCTGCAGACATGAGCTACTGTTCCCTTATGCCTTTTAGGTCTCACAGGTCATGGCCACAGAGCTCTTAGCAGCTGGTGGGTACATGGTTGTTTGGGGAACAGCTCTGTGTTGTAGGGTCCAGGAGGCTTGTGGGGGAACTCCTGCACCATTTGTGTCCATAAATCCACACTCACAGGCCGTCTCATCAAGTGCCGACAGAAGAACAGCAGTTGGGGCCTTGCTATGCGCCTGCATCTGGCTTCGGATGCCAGATACTTTCTCCTGCCAAGTGCTCCCTAGAAGCAAAGAAGCCCAAAGAAAGTGTAAACGACATATCTTATCTTTGACATTTGGTTCCTGGGAGGGCTCCTTGGAATAGTAGTTTTCCATTTTTTTTTTAAACAAAGCAGTAGAATCCTTTCTTCAGACAAACTTTTTTAATAGTGTAGTCACTAATGACATGGGCTCAGGATCTAGACTGGGCTCAAATGACCTGGTTTTGTCATTATTAGCTTGGAGACCTTGGGCAAATTATTAACCCTGGTGTGTCTTATTTTGTGCATCTTTAAAATAGGGATAGGATATAATAATAGGATCTACCTCAATAGGGTTGCTATGAGGCTCAAATATTTATAAAGGATGTAGAAAGTTGTTTGGGCACATAATGGGTCTAGTATAGTTTTCTGGTGGATAAACAAGTATGCAGAAAGAGGTCAGGAGAGCTGCTCTAGTTGAAGGGCAAAGGGAGAAGGCTGTTGCCATGTTCAACTCTCCCCCACAATAACCCCAATATTTAATAAGCCCAGGGGTTTGGGGCTAAACACTCTGTGACTATCATTTTAATTCTTCCTTGCCCCATTTTATAGATAAGGAAACTGAGATTTCAGAGAGGTAAAGTGACTTATCTAGGATTTCCTAGTAGCAGGAGGTGGGACTTGGATTTGAACTCAGGTCTGTTTGACAGCATGACCCACACTCCTAATCTGTACAGACATGTAATATCTTGCTAACATTGTCAGTCTCTGGACCTGTCATTAGACTGTGTGCCACAGTGCCATCCTTTCTAGTATGCCTGCATCTGGATTCTAGGACTTTAGTTTTTGTCTTCTATCCCTGCCCCCTGCAAGGCATATGGAATCTGCCCCTAGACAGGACTAGGAATTTTTTTTGGAAGAAGGTTATAGGCATTAAGGGTCCTGTTTGGGTCTAGATATGAACATAAATGATAACTTAATGCCATTTAAAAATGTTATGCAAACAGATAAAAACTATTCAATAAGAACTAAATCTTTGGGTATGATATACTTTTTAGTTTTATTTTGTTGCAGTGAAAATAGACATAGCATAAAATTTATCATTTTAACCTTTTTAAAGTGCACAATTCAGTTGACTTTAAGTACATTCACAATATTGTGCAACCATCCTGCTATCTAATTCTAGAACATTTTCATCATCCTAAAAGGAAACCTTGTACACATTAAGGAATCACGTCCCATTTTCCCCTCCTTCCAGGCCCAGGAAACCACTAATCTGTTTTCTGTCTCTATGGATTTTCCAGTGCTGGGTGTTTCATGTAAATGGAATCACACAATATGTGGCTTTCTTTGAATGGCTTCTTTCACTTAGAATTACATTGTTGATATTCATGAATATGATACATCTTTGAGAAAACAAATGAAATCAAATTTCAATGGTCTTACACGTTCAGCTATCTTTGTGTAGCTAACTTTTCATGTTCTGCCCTTTTCATTGTTCCACCCCTTCACCTGCCTTTAAAATCTGCAAGTGACTGGAGAGAAAATCTCTTTTGTCTAAACTTCTTAAAGCTGAACTCTATTCTTTCGCTTTTAGGCCCACTTCTGGCTCCTGATGGCTTATTCCTTGAAGAGTAGCAGCCTGAGATGTCTCAGCTTCTCCCTTGCCTTTGGAAAGTGACAAAATCATGCAAATCTGACCCCAATCTCTGCTCTTTTTATCCTCACCTCTTCCTGGTATAACCATGACCTTCTTTATCTAAACAAGATGAGTTTTATTTATGACAAACAGTCTTGGATAGCCAGTTTCTTTAAAAATGGTGTCGGGATGAAGAAAGTATGATTCTTCAAGTTAACATTGGAATAGATAAAGAAAATTGGGCACAATTTTCATTCATTTCATCATAGCCACAATTTTGAAATTAGCCTTCTGCTTTTTAAAAAACTCCTTTCTAAAGCATAAATGCACATGGACTTGTGTGTGGAAAGGAACCTCTCAGATTGTGTAATGTGATTAGGAGTACTAATCCATTGGCTCATTCAGAATTCCAAGGGAGGGTAGGGGTGGTTGGTGGCCCAAACTGATTTACAATCAGTCCTGGTCAGCATTTTAGTTATTACTTAAAAGAATCACAGAGCATACTGATGATCTTGTATGAAGTATTTAGATAGTATTGACAAGGTCAAGGTTATGAATGATAGATTTTTTTTTCTGGGTCAGTTAACTTTCCTTTGTGATCTAGCCAAAACCCGAACCCTCATCTATGTTGCCGACTGACCCTAAACTTGGTTATTTACTTAATCTCTACCCCAGCCATCTCTCAAATCTAAATTCTTCACCACAGGAGGGCAAGAAATAAAAGGTTGAATGATTCAATATGAACCAGCCTCCACTACTGGAGAAGCAACTCAGACCATGTACTTTCTCTCTTCAGAGGGTTTTTCATTTTCTCTGACTCTCCTGTTTCCTCCCTTCCTGCTCACTCTTGCTTCAAATCCCAACATCCTTTCTTTATTCTAGCATTTTCTAAATATTGGACTAAGGACTCTCTGTGGGGAGAGGGCCCAAAAAGCTGCATTTTAACCAAGCATCCTGGGCAACCTGGGTGTATGCTAAGGCTTGCAAATCATTGCTTTGGTATTTTTTTCAGCAAAAAACAAAACAAAACAAAAACAACAACAACAAAAAAAAACTCTAGGGATCCTTGTGTTTATACAAGTTGGGAAAGAGAATGGGCTTATGGAATCACCTGTGAATGCCTCTTGCAGGGCATAAATAGGTTGGCTTGGCACTGGGGGCCTTTCTGATCCCCACACCAGATCCACAAGATTGGACGTAATGGACACCAGCTGTCTGTTGGAGTCCTGGAGGGCCAGGTCATAACTCTTCCAGGAGTCTGCAAGATAGGAAGGAGTCACTTTCGCCTTGCCCATTTACAACTCAGGAAAAACTGTGATTTGAAGCAAGTTAGTCCTGATTCCCTTTGCCTGCTGTTCCACTCCCATAACCCAAAGTGTTATGAGCCTGCCCCAGCATTCTGGCCCTTCTGGAATTCATGCCCCACCCTGAGCTTTGCCTCACATCCTACTCCTTCTGTTTTCCAAGCTTAACTTCTCCTGAACACACCTCAATCCTGTCCACTGCCAATTGGCTAATCTTGTCTTATAAAGTACCAATGGTTGGGGGCAGTCCCTCCTTTGAGACTTCAATGCCACTGTTTAAATGAATGGTGATGTTCAAGTCATTGGATAGGCTGGCAAAGAAGTCAGTTTGGAAGTAGGAGTCATTCAGTGTGTATTCATGAAAATTCCACCATTGAGGACATAATCTGGCCAACTGCCTGGGGCCCTGGAACTCAGGAATCTATATTCCCAGGACTCCTGTTTGACTTAAAGTCCATCCCAACTCCATTTACCCTTCTAGGCTACATTCCAGAAGGGGGTTTCTGGGTGATGCTAAGTACCATAACTGGTAGAGTTCCTGGCCACAGAAGATAGTTGTGGGTTTAAGGACATCCAGGCAGGCCTATTTACCCACTAGATCTTAATAATTCCCTGAGTCTCCTAGGTTGATTTTCTGTACTCATGACTTTTAACAAATTCCATATTCATTTTTTTGTGGTGCTGGGGATTGAACCCAGGGCCTTGTGTATGCAAGGCAGGCACTCTATCAACTGAGCTGTATCCCCAGCCCCCTCCATATGCATTTTAACATATTTAATTACACAATTCATGAATACATCTTTGTTGCAAAATATTCTGCAACCATAGCTTCAAAACACTCTATCTCTATGGCTACATCACTACCGCCTTTCTAAAAAGGTATGTTTCTTTACCTCTCAGGAAATCTGAGCCCTACCCTGCTGGTTTGGACAAATCTAGGGACTTAGGGAAGAACATACCAATAGAGAAGAGGAAAGGGTCAAAGCCCACACTCCCTCCAGAAGGAATCTCAGCCAGCAGCCAGGTGACAATGGGAGTGGTACCAACTGAAAGACAAGAAGGAATGTAGAGGTCACCTCCAGGGTCAGCCTCAGGCTTTCTAGCCAGGTTTCTGACTATGATAGTCCTACCATGTGTGTCCTTGGGATCAGCCTCAAAGGTCAGGGATGGCCTCAAATCTCCTGAGCTTTCCACAGAGGCTCAGCATGGCCCTGAAAGACCCCCTCACCTATACTTTCCAAAACCTAGTCTGGGATGCCAGGCTATGGGGACAGATCCATGTGGGCCTTCTACCTTCTTTATGGAGCTCCCAGTTGCAGTCCATCTGTCGCTCAGCCTGAGTCCAATAGCGACTGTCGGTCCAGAGAGCTGCTTTCCTCAGGGTCACCACTGCAACACCTGGGGTAGAACAGAGAAACTTGGAGGTGAGGGTGAAGGTGAAAGTGAGGAGTATGGTTTCAGTGGATGGATATGCAATACAGTGCTGGTTCTGAGATGTCACAAGGGACCTCTTAGAAAGAGTCTGCCTCTGCCTCCTTTGGAAGGAGAGGCAGGAAATGTTAAAGAGAGATTCAGGGAAAGCTGACAGAAAGAATATACTGGATCAGGCATCTCCATGTTGAGGATACATACACACACACACACACACACACACACATATATATATATATATATATATATATATTAGTTATATATGGACACAATATCTTTGTTTATTTTTTATGTGGTGCTGAGGATCAAACCTAGTGTCTCACACGTGTGAGGCAAGTGCTTTGCCACTGAGCTATGCACTCTACCACTGAGTGGTAACCCTAGCCCTGTTGAAGATTTCTCCATTGAAAGGGTCATTAAGACTTTTACCAGGAGAAGTGGGATCTGTTTTTGCCAGTCCAAAAGATCTGATCCTGGCCAGATATGGTGGCCCAGGACTATAATCCCAGTGACTCCAGAGGTGAGGCAGGAGGATCACAAGTTTGAGGCTATCCTGGGCAATTTAGTGAGACCCTGTCTCAAAATAAAAAAGAAATCAAAAGGACTAGAGATGGGGGCTGGGATTGTTGCTCAGTGGTAGAGTGCTTGCCTGGCACATGTGAGGCCCTGGGGTCAATCCCTAGCACCACATAAAAAGATAAATAAATAAAGTAAAAAATCAATTGACAACTAAAAAATATTTAAAAACAAAAGGGCTGGAGATGTAGCTCACTGGTAATGCACTCCTGGGTTCAATCTCCAACACCAAATAAATGTATAAATAAGAGAGGAAGAAAAGAGCTCATACTGCTTGTAGGTGCTCTCAGTGTCAAGACTTGGTTCTGATAGGGACACTAAGTCAGAGGCTTACTTGAAGATTGATGGGGAAGACAAATCCAGCAAATCTGGCAAAGAAAGTTAAGGCTCATGGTGGGCAAAGGCAAGGCAGCTTGGAGTGCAGGGAAGAAATGTTGAGGATCAGCAAAGGAAATCTGGATTTCATTTAAGGGGCCAGGATCGGGGATGGGGTGTGTTTTAGAAACTGGGACATCATTAAGGGCTTCTATATTTGTGTCTTATTTGGCCATGTGAAGTGGTATTGTCTGTAAAAAGATTTGCAGAGTACAAGTTTATCCCCAAATGAGTCTTCTGAAGGGAAAAGTGGGGCCCTAGTGGCTAGATGTGGAAGTAGCAAGTGTCTCAGAAATGGAGTCCAGGGAGTGCTGGGCTGGCATAACTACAGCAGAGGTAATGATTATGGGAAGGAAGCCAGGAGGTCATCTGCTGTCTTTCTGCACAGAAATGTGGCCAGTGGACCATGAGATGTGTGCCCTGGAGAACCTGGTGGCTTCAAGGGTGGTGGAGGACAGGCAGAAATGGAGAGAGAGGAGTGGGGAAAAAGAGAGGAAGAGGACTTTGGATAATAGGCCCAGGGGTCCTGGCTCTTGAGGCACTAGCCATGCCAGGCCCCCCTCTTAACACCTCTAGTCTACCAAAAGAAGCAATGAGGGTAGGCAATGGCCATTACCTGCAGTCCCTGTGAAGCCTGTAATCCACGCACGCCTCTCATCATGTCTGCCAATGTACTCACTCTAGGAAATTCACAACACCATCATTAGCCTTTTCCATGGGGTCAGATACCCATGTGGAAGGCCCCCAACCACATCCCAGTTTTTTTTAATGTATGGTAAACTCCAATCAGTCCCACAAGGCTAAGCATACTGTACACCTCTTCCAGGAAGCCTTCTGTAACTCCCCCAACATTCTATCTTTCCTTTCTTTGACCAATTTTATATTTCAGAGTCTCAAACCTTTTGGCCTAGCACTAGACTCAGGGTTGCACTGGATTGTTTTGCAAGGGAGTTTGTCACTCTGACCAGAAAACAAGTTCTGTGTAGTCCAGGATCATGTCCTTTGGTTCCCCTTTCCAGATATCCCCTCCTCCCCAGTCTAGCTCTACCCTGGGTACATCATAAATAACTTCTGCATATGGCTTTACATGTTATTGTTGAGTTGGACCTCTATATCCATGGATTCCACATTTGTAGCTTCAACCAATCACAGGCCAAAAGTACTTGTAAAACTTGTGCCTGTACTGAACATGTAGATTTTTTTCCTTGTCATTACAGTATGACTACCATTTGTATATTTGTATTGTATTAGGCATTATAAATAATTTAGAGATGATTTGAAGTACATGGAAGGATGTGCACAGATTATGTACAAAAATACTATGCCTTTTAATGGATTTGAACATCCACTCATTGGGGTATCTGTGGGGTCCCTGGAACCAATCTCTTGCAGATACTGAGGGATGACTATATCCTGGTGCTCAGAATCCTTGGAAACAAGATATCATTATTCTCATTTTGCAAAAGAGAAAACTCAGGCTCAGAGAAGTTCAGATCCTTATCCAAAGTTCTTAGCCTTCCCCAATAGGTGGGAAAACTAATTTAAGCAAGGCTGTTGACACTGAAAGTGCCTTCTCTTCTAACTTGGCTGATCTTGGGTAGGTGGGAGGGTGGAGGTGGAGCCAGTGGTGGGAAAAAGTAGGGTGGCTAGGCAGGTTTGCTGCTATGGGAATAGTTGCCCTTGTTCTGACCATCTTGCTTCCTGTGTGTCCTCCCTCACAGCCTATCCACCATACTTGCATGGTCCAGGACTCTGGATCATCTCACTGCTCCATTTATCAGGCTATGGGATGGCCTGGGCTGAAAGGGAGCTTAGATTTCTTCCAGTCCAATTTCCAGCCTCCATTCTAACCTCCTAGGGCAGGGATGCCTTAAACATTCTCTCTGGATCTGCCACCTGAGAATTGATCAAAATTCATTTTGAAGTTGTTTTATCATTTTACTTCTTGTGGTTAATAGGATTTAGCTATACCTTCCTTCCAATGTAAAAGAATATGTTCTTTCAGTTGCCCTAAAAGTACCGTGTGCAAGCTTTCCACTTCCACCCCTTTGCTTTTCAAATCCCTTCTCTGCCTTCATCTTTGGAGTCTTAGTCTCCTGTGTGTGGCCAGTGCTCACAGGCTAAGCCAGGGTAGCTGAGGGGAGAAACGGAAGAGGAACAGTCCCTTACCATGTGGGCATCTGTGTCTGGGATGATGTAGGCAGAGAGATTCCAGGCCTGTATCTTCTGGCGGAGGGCTGTCAGCCTCAGTGTAGTATTGACTGCAGTAACTGGAAGGTGCTAACAGGAACACATCCAAACACATACAGACACAGGCACATACTGCTTAGAGAAAATGATGACTCCTTCCACCCTGCCACTTCCAGAGGAGTCACAAGCCTCTCCTGAGGCTGGGGTTGGGGGTGGTTTGGCTGACCTGGCCTGGGGGAGGGGTGGGGTAGCAGTTCATTTACTAGTTAGAGTAGATTAAGATGCCTGGGCTGAGAGAAGATGGAGGTGTTTTAGGAAGAGAAGGACCCCTTGTGACAGTAATGGGACCTGAGTCTAGGATAGGGTATTGAATGAGAACAGAGGGACCTGAGCTCTGGTCCTGAGCCAGGTTGCCAGGACAGTGCCTCTTCGGATACCTTGGGGTAGAGTAGCCAGATTTAGCCAATGAAAATACAGGATGTCCACCCAGTCACATTTGACTTTCAAATCAACAATGAGTAATGTTTTAATATAAGTACGTGGCATGTACTATTTGGAGCATACTTATGCTAAAATATTATTTGTTATCTGAATTTCAAATGTAACTCAGTGTCTTGTATCTTGTTTTACAATGTACCTTGTGGCTTTTTCAACTTGTCACCCACTGGTCCCAAATGGCAAAGGATAGTGAATGAGTACCCCCAGCAGTTTGAGATATTGCCCAGAAAGATCCACTCCAAGTCAGACATATCCTTAAAGCCCATTTTATCTATCCAAAGAAAAATCATGTGTTTTTTTTTTTTTTTTGCTTATTTTGTTTTGCTTTCTACCCAAAACATATCCATGTTTGGTTTAATATAAAAGTAATGTGGTTTGCCCCACCTGTCTGTCTGCCCTAGTGGTTCTATAAAGTTGATACTGCATGCAGATGTTCTAAGTTTATTTTGTGGCTTAGGGTACTATGCACTTGTTCACCTCTTCACACCTTCTGGCCCACCCCTGCCTGGAGAAGATCTTTAGCCCAACTCTGGTCATGCAAAGAACCATTCTAGTCCCCAGCTGGGAAGCTGACCACCTGATCTCCTTTGGCTCTGATCTGCTGGGCCTTCTGGTTTTCACACCCTAGGTCTCATTCTCTTTGACTTTTCGTTCCATTGGCTCTTCTAGTCTCCTGACTTCCTCCCTCCCCCCTTCTCTGCTACTCTCTTCTCTGTTCTAGAATGTTTTCTTATTTCCCATCCTCCTCTTTGCCTCTGCCTATCCTCAAAGGCCAGCTAGAGTCTCTCTCCCTTCCTTCTTTCCTCCCTCCCTCCTCCTTCCCCCTGGGGGTTTCCCAGGGTCAGGCCAGGGCAGAAATAGAGAACACACTATGGGAATGAGTTGGGGGGGGAGGAAGGGCACCACACAGGGTCGGAGGCTGTGTTGGAAACCTGAGACCCTACTTCCGGTCCTGATGGATGTTAATAAAAAACTGGGGCCCCGAGGTTGGGAAATCAGGAAAAAGCCTGTAGGGGAAGAAGCTCGAAATTGAGCCCTTGGGGAAAGGTGAGGACGACAAGGCGGGAGGTGTAGGGCGGAGCCACCTGCGGGGCGGGGCTGCGTGTAGGTGGAGCCAAGTCCTTACCGGAGGGCTAGTAGAACAGTTTCTCACATCCTCTCTTGCAAGGTCTACTGGTGTTGGGTGGCTCCAGGCATAAGCTAGAAACCAGGAGAAAAATCCGAGGTCATTTGGGGACCAGAGAGATCTCAGAAAGGACAGGGACACCCTCTCTCAGCCCTGTTTTCTGCCCCGATCCTCCACCCTTTGAAGCTGACCATGCTGGCTGTCTCTACTTGAAGATAATAACAATCATGTTTCATGGTAAATCAGACTGAATTGGATGGCACCCTGGGTCACAATCAAAGAAAATAGTTTCATCAACAAGTGAATGCCCCTTTGGATGGGTTTTAGTGCTCATTACATCAATTTTTTTCTTCTAACCTAATTGAGTCTTTTCAGGGCCTATTGAAGTGGAAAAGTTGTGTGTAAATTAAATTTTGTAATCAAATTTTCTTTGAAATGCTCTAGAGGATCTCTCTAAATAATCATCCCCATCTTTATTCTAGCCTTTTATAAATCTAATTTTACATATTAGGTGTACTTAAATTCAAGACCCACTTGTACTATTTCTTACAACCTGAATCTCTGATTATCATTTTAGCCTTATTTTAAATATATAAGACAGCAATCCCATTCCAAAATCAGAACCTCCTGGGGAAAGATGGATTAGTATTTTAAAGAGTTCCAACTATGGGCCAATACTGAATTTATCAATTTATCTATTGAAGTCATGTGCCACACAACAACCTTATGGTCAATAAATAGCTCAAAAGATTTTATTGTTTGATGATGTCATAGCCATCTTAATTTGTGTAAGTATATTCCATGATGTTTCCAGAACTTCAAAATTGGCTAATAGCATATTTCTCAGAACATGTCCCCATTGTTAAGCAACCCATGACTGTATCTTATTTGATACTTGCAACAACCCTGTGAGGTGGGTATTATTATTCATTTTCTACAGAGGATGAAGCCAAGGTCCAGGTAAGTTTGGTAAGTTGACCAAGTTTTGCCATACTGAGTCAGTGGTTTCTTGGGGATTTGAACCTAGGATATCTGAATTCAAAACAGGGGGTGGGGCTGGGGAGGTAACTCAGTAGTAGAGTGCTTGCTTAGCATGTGTCAGGCCCTTGGTTCAACACTCAGCATTGCACTCCCCCCCAAAGTGGGGGTGCCCTTTCTATCCTCCCACTCTTCCAACCATGGGGGGGGGGTGGGCCTGGAATGTGGGGGTCCATAGAAGGGACAGAGTGTATGGAGATGTAGTTTACAATTTGGGCTGTGTCCCAAATTTGATGTGACCCTAGGAGAGTGACCCAATATTTATTCCTAAATGTCTCTATAAAACCAGGCCTGGGCTAAGTACTCTCAGGTTCTGGGTCTCTGTAATAAATGAAGACTGGATTACAGTTCCTTCCTGTCAGAAAAGTCCAAGACTATCTCTGATACTATTTTCCTCCATCCTCTACCTTTACAGAGGATCATGGGGGCCTGAGTATAGGGAGACACTATACTTTTACCTTCTGAGTGGGTTGAACTACAGATGGAAGGGGGTTGGCTAGTGTCTAACATCATGAATGCTCTGCCTGTATGTCTTGGCCTCATGAACTCAAGTGGGAGATGAGATCCATATTGTTCATTTAAGAAAATGAACACCCATTTCTGTAGGAAGAACTCTCTATTAAAATGGTAGTGCTAAGATGCCAACATAAGAAGCAGGACCATCCAACCCATGTCCCTGTTCTCTGAGGCCAGAAAGAACAGGCTCTGAAGCCAAATCACTCTATAACCCCTGGCACAGGGCCTGGCACTTAGGGAGGGGTTCGTTAGGAACTGGATGCTGTATTAATGAGAAGGGTCCTGCTGACAAAGAGCAAAGGGAAGGGAGGGGAGGCCAGGGGTGAGGGAGGTGCTGAACTGGACACTTAGTTGAGGACAAACAGGGCATTGTAGGGGTGACCAAGATTCTCTCCTTGAGCAGTTTAGATAGGTCCTCTGAGCCCTTTTCTTGACAAGTCCCAAAGTTTTGGCCTTCTGTGTCAGTCCTGTCCTTTCCTGGCCTGCATTGACCCATCTTAGCAGGAATCCTGCCAATTAAGTTTAGAGAGACCCCCTCCTTGATATCTGATCACCCTCAATATCCGATCAGATTCCTCTTCCTTTGCCCTTGATATCTGTTTGCCCTAGCCTATCTTCAACAAGAAACCTAAGTCAGTTTAGCAAGAATCCCCCTACCCTCAATGATTCTTCTTAGTAACTTTCCATGCACCGACCCCCTCCCGCTGTTTATTGGCTGTAAATTTCCAGTGGTCTCTGTTCTCTGCAGCATTGAGCCACTCCTATCTCCCCTGCTGCAGGGCCACTATTGCAGTAGTCTTGAATAAAGCCTTCCTTACAATCCTAATAAATGCCACAATCATTTTGTCATTAATGGGTGGATGGAAAGGTGCCCAAACAGATTAATTAGGCCCAAGTCACAAGCCCCTGAAGATCACCCTTGAAGGGGCCTCTTCTTGAAGACAGAGAGGGTGACCAAGAAAGAAGAGACAATCAGGGCCCCACCCCTCAATCCAACCCCTTCTGAGCCCAGAGGGGAGAGGCCAGAGCTGCTCTCTAGGAGAGGCCCAGAAGCACATACCACAGAAGAGGATAAGCCAAGGGCAGCAGCCCCAGTGAGCCCAGGCCATGGGGTTTCCAGATGCCGATGCTGAGTAGATGGAGGGACTGGGGAGAGGGGCAGGGCTGTTTCTCTGGCCTCTTCGTCCGGCCCTTTCCTGGACTGGAACAGACAGGGGTGGGGACTGGCAATGGGAAGGAGGAGTCCAGCTGGTGGATGGAGAGTCCCCCTCTGATCTTTTGTTTCAGAGGGCTCTGGGAGCCACAGTGGAAAGGGGAGACTTGGGCTGCCCCAGACAACCTGTGTTGATTGCTTGTGGCTTGAAGTAGGGTGTAAGCCGGCCCCAGGGCATAGTCCAAAGATCTCTGAGACTGAGGAGCAACAGCTGGTCTCAATCAGCCTTCTTCTCCCAACCCCCTCTTCAGCAGCCCTGCCCTGGCCATTCCAGACTTCTGTCCCCACTCCCTCCAGCAAGCTGATTCCCATTAGTTTCCCCACTCCAGGCTTTGGCTACAGCCTTGCTTTTTGCTTTGGGATGGATATTTGCTCCTCCTTCTGCTCCTCCTCCTCTGAGCTGGCCTGTCCCAGAAAAAAGCCAGTGTCCTCTCTCTCCATAGTGCCTGGGAAGCCCCAAGGCACCCTTTGGGGAAGTCGGCTGCAACTAGATAGTTACTTTCTGGAGCTGGCATGATTTCCCTCAGGAGAGTCCACTTTGCAAAGATGCCCCCAGCCCTTCCCTTGGGCTCTTATTCAGCAGTTCCATTCAGCAGCACATTCCGCCTCTGCTAAATCCCAGCTGCTTAGGGATTGTTCACACTGTGAGGGAATGAAGGACCAAAGGCATCTTGGTTTGGAGGGATCAGGTGGTGCTACTGAAGAGAAAATAAGACCCAGACAGAGCAGTTTGGGGGCTCTGAGAAGACAAATTTGGTTAAATGGAAATACCATTTCTGCCATAACTTCTGGAACAGGGATTTGGTTGTCCTGTATGCTGGTCACTCCTAAATAGCACAATTCCCTGTGAAGGTAGTGGAGCAGCTGAGGTCAGCCTTGTCCCTGTACCCAGGCATGTCAGAGACTAGCATGTGGCACCAGTGCCAAGGGCAGCTCCTAGTAAATGCTCTCTAAGATCTCTGTCCTCAGGCAAGTTGAGCCCAGAGAGGAATGCTTCAGGGAGAGACAGACCCAGCAGATGGTATTCCCTTAGCCTACAGGGCAAAAAGCATACTGCCCCCCTCTTTCTTTCTTGTACTGGGAATTGAACTCAGGGGCACTTTAACCACTGAGCCACATCCTCAGTCCTTTTTATTTTTTAAATTTTGAGACAGGGTCTCACAAAGTTGTTTAGGGTCTTACTGAATTGCATAGACTGGCCTAGAACTTGATATCCTCCTGCCTCAGCCTCATGAGTTGCTGGGATTACAGGTGTGTACCGCTGCAACTAACACCATTTCTTTGATTTTTAAAAAATATCTACAACAAATTTAAGGCAGTTTTCAATAATCCATTCAAGAGCAAAATAGGCCATTTTGTAGAAGGAAAGGGTGTTGGTAAAGATGGTGCCCAGAGTGCTTCTCTTCTGGGAGTTCTGTGAATGGTGCGAACTTTGAATGGTGCACTTCCAATCCCTGAAGTGGTGCGAACTCTCGGCCGATAAAAAAGTAACAGCCCACTCCCCCCCATCCCCCTTACCCCGCGCTGAGCCCATAAATATCAGCACCCTGTTCGGGCTCACTGTCTTGCTTGACCCTCTTCTCTTCTGCGACTGGCCCCTGCGGTCCCGCTAATAAAATCTCAGACAGGTAAACAGTTGTTTTGGCTTGTTGAATTTACAGAGCTTTTCCGCCGCTCCTTGCAAAGGGAACCTTCATGAACTCCCTGGTGGGGTAGAGTCAAAATGAATGAGGAAGCTCTATGAACCCTACCTTCAGCCCCAGAGGACAGATCACAGAGAAAGACCAAGAAGAACTCTGTCATTCTGTGACTACTGAAACTCTTGTTGTCTTTTTCCTGTCCCTTCTTTCCTACCCTTCCAGAACTGGTGGTGAAGTTAGTCTCCGAGACCAGAGGACAAGAGAAATGCCCTCTCAAAGGTACTTGCCTCCTCTGTGCCATGTTTAGCCATCCTAGAGGGAAAACATGTAGAGTTGATGGGGTCATACAGAGGAAGGACTCTGAAGACAGCCCTCAACGACATGCACAGTCCTACCACTTCATCAGTGAACCTAGGAACACTGACACAGGAGACAGACCGCCTGGATTTCAGTCCCAGCTTTGTCACAGACCAGCTGCATGGCCTTCATCTCTGAAACCTCAGTTTCTCCACCTGTGAAGGGATTATAAAAACAATAAATTGTTAAGGCTGTGATGAGATTTAAATGGGTTAATGTTTGTGACGCTCCTAGAACATGCCTGGCAGAGGATAAAAAGTAAATGCTATATGAGTGTTTGTTAATACAAATACATAACTAAAGTGAGTCTTGTCTGTACCTTGTTCTTTCTCTTTGGCCTCCAACACTGCTGAAATAGCAGTTACTGTTATAGCAAAGATCAGCTGGGCCCAAAGGCCCTGAAAGCAAACAAATGGTACAGACACCCCTCCCCCATCTTCTGGACTTTGCCTGGAATGGTCTCCACACAGTACTCAGCCCTCCAGTTCTGTCCCCTGAGTCCTTGCCTTGGCCCTGGTAGTGATGATGACCTCACCTGCCTTTACCCTCAGCTCCTCCCTTAACTCCTTATCTCAAAACCACTATCTGTACTCTCATCAATTTGGGGACTTGAACCCAAGTTGGCAATAGGCCTGAAGTAGAAAAGAATGATTCAGAATAGGGAGGGTGAAAGACTGAGGGTCCTTGTATCAAAGTTGTTTGGAAGACCCATGAATCACTGCAGTCTTACTGTGTCTTGCACAAGTGTTTTTTTCACTTTTTGGTCCAAGGCTATCCAAATTCTGAAATTTGAGTAATTGTTTTCTAGGGTTACTGTCTCTATCCTCATTTTTTTTGTACCCTGAGCCAACCCCAGGCTTGCCACCCAGATCTGTTTTCTGACTTGGGCTTGCCCTTTCTGGGCACCAGTACCTGCCAAACTTCCATCAGAATGCACCAACTTGACTTCCATGTTCTTCTGCCTGAGGATGACCCATAAGTATCCTGAGTCACAGCTCAGCTTACATTCACGATGTATTTGATATATTTGAAGAAGAAAATATAGGTAATGGGACCAGCATGCAAAAACCCTAGCACCAGGGCCATAAGCAACTCTGCCGTGGGAACCTCTGGGAAAGTAGAACCAGGAGAAAGACCAAGAGGAGGGAGGTGAGGCCCAGCAGGCCAGAGCAGCAGGGGGCATCCTTCAGCATTAGGGGAGCAGTGGGAGCAGTGGTGGGGTGAATGTTGGCAGTAGAGGTACAGAAATGGCACTACGGGCAGTGGTGATGGGGAGCACTGGCAGTCTGGGGACAGACTGGTGGCAACACACCTGAGGGAGCACAGATGGGCAGCTCCAAGGCTTGAATAGCCTGTGGCAGTGGGAAAGTCAGATAACCAAATGGGACTCTGGGCACCGCAATGCCCCTATCTCAGGGATACTGAGGGTGAAATGATGAAAGGAGACCTGAGGTATTAACAGTTCTGCAGTTGGGAAAGACTTGTTAGTGCACTTCAGGTCTAACTGCTGATGTGACTTCAGAGGCTGACAGATTGGAAACTTCACCTTGTGAGCACAACATGTGACAGCTGCTTCCAAATCCCATCATTTCCTCCCTCAAGGTTTCTCAACAATGCTGGGAGGTAAGTGGGGTTCTACCAGCATAAGGAGAGACAGACTTGGACAAGAACGGTGGCTTTGCCCAGGTCTGAGCTGACCTCTTGTCAGAGCTGGGACTCAAACTTAGGTTGGGGTGACTTTGAGGCTCCTGTTGCTTCCATTGGACCTCACTACTACCCCATCTGAAGTTCCTCCCTGGCTTCCATTGCCCTCAGGATAGAATTCAATTTCTGCAGCCCAGGAACCAAAGACTTCCTCCCTGATATATCCCACTACCCATATCTTGTCTACATTCTCTTCATTCATCAAAGTCTAGTTCAGAAGTCACCTTGTCCACCAAGTTCTGACCACCTTGAGTTGATGCCTCCATCCCAGGTTCTTTTGTAACGTTTTGTTTGAGCATCTACTTTAAACTTCTTACATTAACTCCTGTGCTTTCTTGACTCTTCTCCTCTAGGTCACCCATCTCTGAAGACAGGAGCTTGCTCTTATAAATATTTGGATTTACAAAGGCATCTAGGACAGAGCCCAGCAAAAATTGAGATCAACAAAAGTTTGTTGACACTAAATCCCAACAATGTGTAGTCCAGCCTGCCATCTTGCTCTTGCAAGGAATGTGTTGAGTGGGGGGCAATTTTCCATCCCTAAAAGGTTGCTGTGGTGTTATTGGTGGTGTGGTGTTATATTGTCCATTATATCACACCTGCCCCTTTTTGACAAATAACCACACTGCCTGTGTGTGTGTGTGTGTGTGTGTGTGTGTGCACATGTGCATTCATGCTCATATACGTATGTGGTCAGAGGGTAGGGGGCAAGTGTTTGTTTCATGGAAGCTGATTTTTGGTGTTATGTTGCCCACAGATTCTCCACCCAGACAGCCAAGCAGCAGGGAATGGGGTTGATCCCCTTAGAACAAGGATTGGCCATCCATTTTCTGTGGTTGGTAGATCCCAGGAGCAGCTCCTATCCAGCAGCTCCCATGAATCCTCCTCTTCCTCCTTCTTTTTCTCCTTCTCCTCTTTTAAGTTGATGATTATGGTCCAGGAAGTATTTTAGTGAATTTCAGTGGGCCTGGCTGGAGACTTGTGTGGGCCAGTTAGCTTGGTTCACTTCTGTGATCACAGATTAAATCAGATCTTTAGCCCTAGCTGAGTCCTATGCTCAGCCGTGTGTGTGATACAAACCTGTGTTTTGTCCTCAGGGGTCTTGTACTGCAACAGGACACATGGTTAGAGCACCACTGGGGCTTGCTGAGGTTCCAGTCCATTCTACTCATGTCTCCATTTGATGGTCTTTTGACGTTCTCCCAGACATTTCTCCTCTTCAGTAGCCAG